ATTTTTCTTTAGTCTTACAAATCTTCTCAACAGAATCGAAGTAAAGGGGCTCAGGGCAAGGCATGACCCATGCTACACCATTGCTGCACATACAATACTTTTTGCAATCGTCGTTTGGCAGTAGCACCGCATACTCCGAATCTTCATCAGGACATGTACCAATACAAGTAGATGGATCGAGATTGTCATACGTTTTGTGTTCATTATTGTTCTCATTGGTCATAGATTTCATTGAATGGTCATTATCGATTTTATCAATCGTGTCATCTTGATCGGATGAACGTTTTCCACATACGGCATTTTTCTTTAGCTTACAAATCTTCTCAACAGAATCGAAGTAAAGGGGCTCAGGGCAAGGCATGACCCATGCTACACCATTGCTGCACGTACAATACTTTTTGCAATCGTACGTTTGGCAGTAACACTGCATACTCCGGATCTTCATCAGGACATGTACCAATACAAGTAGATGGATCGAGGTTGTCATACGTTTTGTATTCATTATTGTTCTCATTGGTCATAGATTTCATTGAATTACCATTATCGATTTTATCAATCGTGTCATCTTGATCGTATGAACGTTTTCCACATACGGCATTTTTCTTTAGCTTACAAATCTTCTCAACAGAATCGAAGTAAAGGGGCTCAGGGCAAGGCATGACCCATGCTACACCATTGCTGCACATACAATACTTTTTGCAATCGTCGTTTGGCAGTAGCACCGCATACTCCGGATCTTCATCAGGACAAGTACCGATACAAGTAGATGGATCGAGGTTGGGAATCATTGCTCTATCGATTTGTTCAAGGTCGTTCTTTACACGTGTCATACTGCAGAAAGAATTCTCTGGGAAATCGCAGACTTTGAGAACAGGATTGAAAACGAGTTCTGCGGAATGGCATTTCTTAAGCGTACTGATGCCATTTTCGCAAACGTAATATAAATTACAGTCGGTCTCATGAGGAATTTTGGTAATTCCTGTTGATGTGCGACATTTGGTATCTTTCGATGCAACAGGTTCGTTTTCAGATTCAGCGTTGCAATTAACATTCTCTGGATAGTCACAGACGTAAAGCATCGGATTAAAATGTAAATTTTTAGGACATGTCTTTAGGATTTTCTTGCCACTGCTGCACGTATAATAAGATCCGCAATTGTATTCGTGAGGCATTTTGCTATTCTCATCATAACACTTACTCGGATCAGATGTAGGCATTTCCATTGTAGTGGGAACGATCGGTACAAAAGTGGTGCATTTAGCTTCGGTCGGCTTGTTGCAGATTTGCCGAACGTGATCATAATGCAATCCAGCTGGGCAATTCCGGAGAATTTGTTTTCCATCATTGCACTCGTAATACTGCGTGCATTCACACTCGTGAGGCAATAATGCTTTCATTACGAAACCTATGGGAGGGCAAGCATCTAGACTGATTATTGGCAGAGATGTAGAGAGAGCGCATTTCTTCAACGGATAATCACACATCTGGATAGTAATATTAAAGTGAAGTCCTTCTACGCAATGTTTTAAGATTTTCTCACCTTTGGAGCATACATAATATGCGGTACAATCTGTTTCATGTTGAAATGCTCTGCCTTCCGGAGCACACGTATACATAGTGTCATAATCATCATAGTCATCACTTGTAATATCATTAGTTGGAATCGGTCGAACACACTTTACTATTGAAGCCATATCGCAAACTTCTCGAATGTAATCAAAATGATCGCCGATTGGGCATGTTTCTAATATTGGCTCACCGTCTACGCATTCATAATATTGATTGCATAGACATGGATGAGGAAGTCGCGCTTTCTCCGTTGATCCTTTTGGAGGACACTTTTCGCGAGGTTTGGTAGGATCTCTTGTTGTTGTAGGCAGTGTAGTTGGTTTTGTTGATGGTGTAGTCGGTTTTGTTGATGGTGTAGTTGGTTTTGTTGGTGGTGTAGTTGGTTTTGTTGGTGGTGTAGTCGGTTTTGTTGATGGTGTAGTTGGTCTTGTGGGAAGTGGTGTGGGTGTTGTTGGGGGAATAATTCTGCCATTACAATCTACATTTTCCGGAAAATCACATTCACCAATCACTGGATTAAATAATAAATAGCTTTCGCATTTCACTGGCTCTGTGCCTAATTTGCCATCGACGCACCAATAAAAATAATTACACCATCTTTCATGAGGAACTTTGTACCGTCTACCGTTGCGTTCGCACGTCCAAGCAGCTGGACCTATTGAAGTCAATTTTGCTGACACCGTATTCGACGGCGAATATGATGGCATTGAAGTTGTAATTAATGAACGGGTTGATGGTACGTTATTTTTACTTGGCGGAATGATATTGTGGCAATTTACATTTTCTGGATAATCACATACACGCAGCAGTGGATTGAAAAGTAAATCGCGATCACATTTCCGTGGGACTGGATTTATAATGCCATTAAAGCACAAATAATAATAATCGCACATATTCTTATGGGGAATCATATGTAGTCTGCCATCGGATGCGCAAGACCCGGGTAGAGTTGATGTACTTTCCGTAGTTGATGAAGAATTCGATGGTAGAGTCGTCGGTGTCGGAGTAGTCAATGTCGGAGTAGTTGGCGACGGAGTAGTCGGTGTCGGAGTAGTCGGTGTCGGAGTAGTCGGTGATGGAGTCGTCGGTGTCGGAGTCGTCGGGGTCGGAGTAGTCGGTGACGGAGTCGTCGGTGTCGGAGTAGTCGGTGACGAAGTCGTCGGTGTCGGAGTAGTCGATGACGGAGTCGTCGGTGTCGGAGTAGTCGGCGACGGAGTCGTCGGTGACGTAATTGTTGATGTCGATGATGATTGACAACCTGCACTCCATGGCCAATCACATACTTGAAGTCTGGGATTGAAGTGCAATCTATTGCCATTAGTATCCATGAAAGGACAATTTATTGGTTCCCCTTTCTTTCCCAAGTGACAATTGTAGAATTTTGTGCAGTCAGTTTCATGAGGTAGAAGAACTGTTTCATTTCGTGGATTCACAGGACATTTTGTTGGAATATCAGCCACTGGTGATTCATTGAGTGCAAGAATACCCAACGTGGGCACGTACAAAACAATCATTAAATATATACCTGTAAATAAAAACAATATGTTAGTTATTTGTAATTTTAATAATCATATTTAAATGAGCGAATGTTTGCGCGAAGGGATAGTGTTACGTACATTTAGAAAAAAATCGTATTAGTAATTAATTTGAATTTTGAAAAACTTGAGAATAAATAATATCTCAGCTATGTATTATAAAGCTGTAATAAGAATAATAAATAAATAATATATGAAAATAAAAAATATATTAATTATTAAAATTATTATTTAATATATTGTCATCAGAGTGTATTTTTTAAAATTATCTTGATAATATTTTGGCATTATTTCAAAGCATTATTTTAAAAGAATTTAGAATCTAAACTAGAAAAAATGTTATGTCTTGTTTGTTGAAGTCTATATAATTGTATAATTATAATTGAATGGCCATCAATTAATCATTTCTATTAATTAATAGTTTATCACTATCAATTAATAGTTTACATATGTTGTTGCTGTTATTATATTTTTATAATTTTCAGTATAAATTTAATTCTTTATTATTTTATAAAACTAGTTGCAAAAACTTAAATTTTAGAAATATAAAATTATAATTGTCAATTTCATTCTTTTTTTAATGCATGTTTACGATTGCTTGGCGGTATAATGTTTGGATGTGATCTACAAATGATAGAGCATCCATTTACAATATACACTTCCAAATATTATATCTTGTCGCGCGTTTACCATAAACATAACGCTGGGTTGTCCCCCATGAATGCTCATTCAAGATGTGATCCACTTGGTGCTACAAATACTTCAAAACATTTTTTTAATTGGTTAATTCATAAAATTCTGATTAGTCAATCAGACACTTCAAAGTATTTGTAGCACCAAGTGGACCGCATTCTCATTCATGGATCTGTATAAATCAATAATCTTTTAATTATTGCAAAGATTGCAAAATAATACAGGACTTTTCTATTCAATATAATCTGCTCTTCCTCTTTTTAATGATACAATTATTACTAGACACCTTATGTATATACGTATATATTCTAAAAATTTTTTAGTATTTTGCATTTAATTCAATTAAATATAGAAAAATTACAAAAAAATTTAAAAATTAATGTATTAAACGTATTAAAAATATTTTATACTTGCATATATGTACATATATCTACATATCACTATTTTTAATGTTTCTTCTTATCAATATCTACGCACAGTTAAACACAACTATATGCACTGCACAAATTTTTTTTTCTTTTTTCGCATGCACAAATAATTATTCAGCACTCAACAATTGGATTCAATATGTCTTCGTTGTTTCCTTATTTATTTTCGTTTTATCACTACATTGGAATTTTATCGATCACAAACACTCACCTTTCATTATGAAGAATCCATTCGTTTAAAATTGAAGACCAAATTCTATTCCTTTACTTACTGATAACTGACGAGTTTGCTTCTACGAAATGATTTTTATAAGCGCACGGAGCGTTATCGCCTAGCAAGCGCTTATCATATCTAACATTTTGACAAAATCCTTCCTCTTAGAAAAATCAATTAAGCATATCAAAGCAGGTGCGAATATATTCGTATGTTGTAGATACAGGTGCAGATATGTTGTCGATAAAAAAACGCGCGGAAAGAATTTTTACTAAAGTATTTCAAAATTTGGCCAAATACAAAAAAAACAATAAAAATACTGAAAATAATTTTCTTGAATAATATGTAAAGACTAGGATCTTTATACTGTAGTTATTAGGATATAAAAAATATTTTGAAATATATATAATATTATTATATTTAATCATCTTATGTAATTATTTTGATGATCCAATAAAATTATTTTTTTATCTGTATCTGGCCAAATTTTTTGAAACTTCAACAAAACCATTCTTTCCTTACGATATTGAACTTGTAAAAGCTAGACTTTGCTTTATTATGATTCTTATTTATTAACAAATTAATAAATTATTATATTAATAAAAGTAATCTTTTTTATTTGTTAATTTATTGAAAAAATTATATAACAAATCAAGTATATTTTATACGATAAGTTTTCAACTTGTATATTGTATGCGGTTTTAATTTTATTAAATCAAATTAATTTAATTTTATTTTATTTCGATTACATTTGAGCCTAGTTACAAAAATGTATAACAATTAAAAAATTGCGACGAGTGAATATTTCATAGGATTTGCGAGTAAAATTATAAATTATAAGACTACTATGAAATAACAGTGCTAACACTATTATGAAGAAACAATCGATTAAACGTGCTGACATATAAAACATGACAATATAATGCTTAGATTAATTTTATTATTATTTTTTTAATAATCAGATATAAGATACAGATATAAGTATCGATCTATGTTATCAATTGATATCGTTTATCAATTCGGTGTAATAAAAATCACTATAAATTTTTTGCCTAATTAACGTACAAACAAAAATGCGTTATATAAATTTCAATTTATTCCACTAAAATTTTGTGTAATACATTCATTATTTGCAAGAAATCTAAATGAGAGATAAATGTTTGTCCGAATGCCTTTTTCCGTCGAATTTATCCAATTCAATATACGAACAATCGAATCGAAGATGATACTGAAGACTCGGCAGAATTGCGCTTTCATCTCTTCCACTGACAATTGGCTGCCCAGGGCCAATTGCAAACTTCCCACTTCGTGTCGAAGTGCAAGTTGGCCGGGCAGTTCATAATGTACGGAACGCCATTGCTGCATTTGCAGAATTTGTTGCAATCGCCACTGTACGGCAGATGTATCGTTTTGTCCATTGGATCCGGAAGTGGACATGTGCCGATGCAATAAGACATATCGGCTTCCTCGCTGTCAGGGATATTAGGTTGAGTCTCCGGTCGACTACCCATGAGGCATCCCGCGGACGGCCAGTCACACTGTTTAATGGCTACATTGAAATGCAGACCCTCGGGACATTCGTGAATTTCACCCTTGCCATCTTGACAAATGTAGTACTGGGTGCATTTATTCGGATGAGGCAGCCTGTCGCTACCTGAGGAAGGACATTTAGGCTGCTTCACAAATACTTTCTTCGGCATTTGGTTCTCTGCTACTCCGATGGACACGATGATCGCTAATGCGATCACCGTACAGTACCCTGTTAAATTAGAAAATGTATTTTCAAGTCGACAGTTTAAATTGACAGTTTAAATTCTGTAGCATAGATAAATTTACATTTTTTTCATTTTTTGATAACATCACGAAAGCATTTTAATTTCGCTAGCAAGGAATAACTTTTATCGGCTTTTATAATTGAGGACGCTACCGCACGATAGTGCAAGACTTGTTCTCGCAAATACGCGTTAAATAAACATTGACGATAAAAAGACTATCTTACCGGAAATTTAATTTACTTAGAGTTAATGGTTAAATCTTGTCCACGTTCAAAACGGATGCGTCGCATTTATGAAAAAAATAAGATAGAAAAACAAACTTAATCACGTATAACACAAGGCGCATTTTAGCATTTAATTCGACATCAAACTTTGCACGTAATGTCAAAAAAAATTGAATCGCGTCACGTTACTTAGCCATGATGTCAAGATAGCACAGAATTTTCAAAGACTCACTTCTCATTATTAATTTCGTATATCAAAACGTATCACATTCGACAGTTAAAAATACAATAACCGACGTTTGCAATAGGCGTATCGATTTTTATATCAATCATCTTATCGTTTGATAATATCTTACGTGAAGTATCATATCCTAAAAGAATTCATATATCTATTTCGCAAACGAAATCGAAAGATTGTGCCGAGATTTATGTACAATTTAATTAAATAATACTGATAATAGCTGATTAAATCATTTAATAAAATTGTCGGAATTTAACAACAAAATTGTGTAAATACCAATGTATCAAAGAATTTTACTGAAGGGTGAGCAGAATATTATATATATCATACATATATTTCCATACATTAACATTGCTATTGTTATCATTTAAAATCTAAAAATGTTTTCAGATAATGTTCAGGATGATAATAATTGTTGACGTGCGAAGTCTCAACGACATCGATAAAAATAAAGAATGAAGTCACAAAGCGAACGATTTAAATTAAATCTTTTAGGATCTTTTAGGATCTTTTAGGATTAATATTGTCGAACAAATATATCTGCATTTTTGAAATTGCGGAATTTAAAGAGTAACTTATGTCAAAATAGAAGTTTTGTAGGAGGAATAGCAATACAGATTTTTGCGACAAAAACAAGAGAAGAGAAAAAAAAATCAGTCAGTATGTCAGTTAACATACACAAATACATAATTAAATGCAACATAAATCATAATTATAAAAATCATAATCTAAAACAATAATCATTGCATTATATACTTGATAAAACTTTTTATCTTTTGACTTTTAAGAATAGATGATAAAATGAAATTTTGATACACATGTGCACCTGCATACATGCTTAATTTGAAAATATACTATATAATTATATATTATAGATTAACTTATTTTTATTATTAAAGATTGGATGTACGAAAATCTCTCCTTTACTCTGTTTTCTGATAAAAAGTAATAAATAAAAGTCAAATCAATCATTGATATGAAATTTGTCAAAATAAAAACAAACAAGATCTAAGATATACAAGAAATTTTTTTATTGATACATAATTTAATAATAATCTTTTCAAAATGATTTCAAAATTCAAAACCACATGAAGATACAACCCGCTTAGCATCCCTTGGCAAAGATCTGGACTCTACAGTTGTGCTCTTGAGTGTTAAAGCCTGTAATTTGACCTTAAGTATGTTGTAAAACTCATACAAACCATCTTTTTTTTAATTTGACAAAAAAATTTGAAAATAAAGCAATTTAAAAATTCAGCATAAAAATGATAACTCGAAACGATAACTCGAAAACAACATTTTTGAACCTATGTTCATATCATCTTTTTTTCTTGTTTTTGTGGAGGAGGTGATCCCCAATCACCTCCTTTTTGACTTTTACTTTTGAAACAATCTTATAATAAAACGTTAATCATAAAAGCAAGTAATACGTATACGCGTTTTATTTTGTAGGAATAAAACAAATTTATTTTTAGAAGATGTCTAATTAAACACACATATTTCCCGATTTCGGTTGCTTTATCAATGCTGACAGTTGAAATTAATATCGACGTTATGTTATCGATAACGATAAAATTGCATGAACTACGTCTGAATTTTTGTAAATATACAAGGTTCTCCAATTAAAAGAGATTCAAAGACGCTTGAAATCATCATGTTATAAATCTTTATTACATATTAAAAATTATTACGATAGAATACGAATTGATGCTATAAATTTCTATCAGAGTACAAAATTGTAATTTACATATTAAGCATCGTATGAGTCGCAGTCAAAGATATAAATAAAGCTTCCGTTTTTTAATTCGTTAGATAAAAATTTATTTTTTTAAATATGTATATAAATATGTATATATAAAATATACACAATAATTTTGCAGAAGTATCTAAAAATTTGATTAAATACAAATCTGAAAATTTTGAATTGATTGATATAAAATAATTATATGGAACATTTAAATTAACGAGATTGGTAGAATACAATAAATTTTTTATTTTTAGTATTATTTTATTCTTAAGCGTCCTATAAAATTTTGATAACTCAATAAAATTACATATCTTTAAATCTGTAATTAAATATTTGGCCAAATACAGATATTTCAATAAAATATTCTCATCATTCTTTTTGTATATGAATATAATTATTTTTGATTTCGATTTATTGACGACAAATTTACAGTATATATGTAATAAACATTTCATTAAATATGGCAAAAGATCATATATTTGATGTTTTATTGGACGGATGATTCCATCAAAATGATTAGGAAAGTTTCTGAAATGAATGAAATCATCCGCGATTGCGACATACCATAAATTCTTATTTCTTTTGTCGGTCTTGATCTAATGTTGATAATGTCACACTGACCTTCTATTGAATACAACTAACATGTTCAGCAACTAAAAAGTACGCAGATATCATGGCTTATCGATATTACTTTTGTTTATAATTCGACGCAATTGGCATAATTGTATAATAATATACATAATTGCTAAAGACAAAAATATATCTTTTAAAAATTTAGCTATATGGAAATAACAAATTTGTTGAAGTATTTAAAAATTTGATCGAATCATAGATACATCTGAAAATAATATTTTCTTGGGTCAAAATTATATAGAACGTTCAAATTTCAGTTGCCAAGATATCAAAAATTTTTGCGCTAGCTAGTAAGCGCCCTACATTCTGACGAGTTAACAAAATTATTTTCAGATCTATATCTAGCAAAACTTTTAGATGCTTTAGCAAAATTACTCTTTCACCAGGATTTTTAATTCAAGATCACCAAAACTTGGAAATCACTTTTTTCAAAGAGATTTCCAAATTTAAGGTTTTAAAGGACATTCAAAAAATATGAGAAATTTAATTTCAATTCTTTTATTAGCACTTTGGAATTATATTTATTAATGTGAGGCAAATTATTTAATAAAATCTTTTTCAAATTCAACATTCAATTTCTCTCAATTATTGATTTTATATAGAATTAATTCTGTGAAGAGTTATCTAATATTTTATTTATATAATTATTTTAGTAATTGTGTGATATTCCACACAGTACTTTATTTGAGGAACCTCCTTAGGACGCAGGATATCCTAAGAACGCCCAAAAAGTGCCCTACATCCTAAGGATATCCGACGGATAAAACATATATATGTGGGATACTATTATATTATATTAATTCAAAAATAACATTAAAAACAACTTTGAAATATTGTTCATTCATCTACCACAAAATATATCTTATTATTACATGCAATAGTAAAATGGTTATCCGATTAATCATCATCGATTACATTACGCAATATCCTCATGCGCCATCAATGATATCATTCGTCATCGGTACAACAACGTAAATATATCTTCTCCCATTGTTCAATCGCTATGTTTCCATTTATTCTCATTTATCGCACGAAGAAACTTTCTGGATGGCGATTATGGAACATTTCCCTTGGCGTGAAAAGTTCGCATTGAATTCATCAATCGATATCCCGAGTTAAGCGACCGAACAGTAATCAGTCCCATTATTGTTCAAACCAGCGAAATCTTGCGTGTCGCTTCTATTCCTCTATCCCATTTCCGGTCTCTCTCGTACGTAAATTAAATATTTCGGTCGAGTCATAATTGAATCCAGGTCAACGGAGCTATTTCCCGACCGCGTTCTCTTCGGCCGAAGTGCGAATCAAAGCGAACCTAGCAACACGCGCCGATCTTAACTTCGAACTCCGGACTGCGCGCGCGCGATTATTATTTACGACGGGTTGGCGGGAGCGGAGGAGGCAGATGCACTTGGTAACCGCTTGGATCCTACGTCGGTAACGACGCTGCCTGCCGTTAACGCGAAATTGCACCGACTGCACGTGCGCGCGCAGCCTCTCTCGCGAAATGTCCCCCTTGTTTTCGGAGCGCGGCCGCGAGAGTTGCGCCGCTCTCACGCCGTTGCACACAAAGTGCACGTCGCCGTCTCTACGTCATCGCCCTACCACTGCAAAAATAACGATCCAATGGGAAGCGTGTAAACAATGGTTGCGGGCGCGCCGGTTGGCCGCGCTGTCGTCAAGTCAGCCGTCGACGGCGAATCCGCGCGTCGCGCGTCCCGGCGCCGACGGAAAGCAGCGGCGCACACCGTTCAGTACCCCTCCCTCCCCCGATTGCGATTGCACGTCGGGCATTCAGTAGACTCGGCCATTTCTCTCGCGAAGTGTAGCGACTCGCTTAGCCGCGCGACGGGGTTTTTTTTTTCGCGAACTTACCGTGCGGGTACTCCCGGAAGTTTTGCAAAATAACGCGACGCAAAAGGAATGATACACTCCGGGCGCACCAGGCTCGAGGTAAGTCAACGGCGATGCACGTCTCCGTCCACGGTCGCGTACGCGACCGCGGAAACGCGCGTCGAAGTGCTGCCACACACAGTCCGGGGGGGTCGTGCGTGTTCAATGTTGTCATTGCCGAGGCGAACAGCTGATTCGCTCCCCTGGCCTCCGCGAAGCGCGGCGGCCGTCACGGGTAGTCTCGGCACCGCCGTTTCGCATCCCTATCGTGACCAAAACGACAGTTATGACCTACGACAAGGACGACGACGGTGGAGGCGTCATGCGCCAGACATTCTCTCGTTATTGTGGCTGACTGACTGTGGCTAGCTGGCTGGCTGGCTAGCTGGCTGAATGGCTGGCTGGATGGACGGATGCATGGACGGCTGGCTAGCTGGCTGGCTGGATAGCTCGCTGTCTGGATAGCAGACTAGTTGGCAACACGCTGTCATTCTTCTCGTTTCTTTTTATTGCGTGCTACATATATGTATTATTCTCATCGACCAACCAAGCAATCGTGCAGACGAGCTTAGCTAGCTGGCGAGTCAAGCAGTTAGCTAACCAGCCAGAGCCAGCTTCGTTCTTTGTCCTGTCTTTCCTCTTTTCTTCCGTCCTTCCTTCCTTCCTTCCTTTCTTTCTTTACTCCTCTCTTTTTCACACTCCACCTCTCTTTCTCCCCCTCTCTCTTTCACGCGCTCTCTCTCTCTCTCTCTCTCTCTCTCTCTCTCTCTCTCTCTCTCTCTCTCTCTCTCTCTCTCTCTCTCTCTCTCTCTCTCTTTCTTTCTCCCCCTGTCTCTCTTCTCTCTCCTTCTCGCGGTCGCCAGCAGTGGCTACGTCGCCAGCGTTGCGTTCTCGTTGTTAAATGCATGCCGCCCCCTCTCCCTGCCCTGGCTACTATCCTCTTCTTTGTTCTTCGCTCCGGCGGCGTCCGAGCAACGACGACGACGCGCAAAAATCCCTTCGCGCTTTCTGGCGTACGATTTTCGACAACGACGAGGACGAATGACGATGACGATGATGTTGAAGCGCGCGAGCGGAATGTCAATGAGCGTCGTTGTTCGCGACGCGACGTTGAGAATCTCGTCATTCTACTTTGCGCGCGCGGTTCCTCGGACGTCGCTCTCTTGGCGTCGCGACGACGACCATAACGACAACGACAGTAAAATGCAGAAACGTAGAGGCATAAACAAGCGGGTGGACGCGCGCGTGGCCGTGGCTCTTGGACGAGGGGCGTGTGTTTGCGAGCGCGATAAGTAAGAAGCTGTGAATGAACCGCGCATTTCCGCAGCATTACACCTCGCTGTTTTTCAACAGCAGCTCGAACAATCCATCCGGGATATGTGTATTTGTTGGTGTGAGAGCGCATATCTCTGTTTCCCTTTCATTTTTATGTTTCATATCTTTTTTCTTTTTTTTTTCTTTCGTCATGCATCATCAGGCATGGCGCGCCTACGATTAAAGATTGCGCTTGATGTTAATAACATCGGGAATAGGGTACGATAATAGTAATAATGGATCGTATTTTTATTGCGGACTGTGTGTGTGTGTGTGTGTGTGTGTGTGTGTGTGTGTGTGTGTGTGTGTGTGTGTGTGTGTGTGTGTGTGTGTGTGTGTGTGTGTGTGTGTGTGTGTGTGTGTGTGTGTGTGCTTTCCTATCTTGCTGTTTGGATTAGATAATTCGGACATATTGATAAGACATACATTACTGGGGACTTTACTGTGTTGGATATTCAAATACCGCGAATATCATATGTATAATTTATCATCCTATCTTTATATAATCGCGGCAGTCTGCCGATATATGAAATTGAATTTCACTTTTCAATCGTGAAGAAAATATCATCGTATCATTAAATAACTTACTTATTTCAACTAAATATTTTCATTTAAAAGGACAGGTATATGATTATTTAAAAAGCGTGGTAATTGGATTGATTGCGCGCATGTGTGTGTGCATGTATACGGTTATCATTTATCACTCTATTGTAAAGAAAGGATTTATATGCATGCTAATACATTATATACATTTTTTGTTAAAGAAACATCTCTGAATAGTTCCTTATTGTTTCATTGCCTCCGAAACTAAAGACGTGCATCACAATGCTTCAACGCCGTGTTATTGCAATCTCGGCAAATATAATCCGTTTTTGTGACTATTTTTATTACTTCATTCATGAGTTGTAAATTGCGAAAAATTATTGGCTCGCAACAGGCCTCTTAATTCGGCCACATGTCGAAGGTTGAATTATCGCGCGTGCACTTCAGCACATATTAAAGCGTATAAATAATTAAAATACGAAAATTATTTCACGAATATTTGACAGATTGGAATTTGCATTTGGGCTTGGAGATTGCATGTGCATACACATTAGCGTTACCCTACGAGATTAGATTTTAACGACTGAATCTATCTTAATCAATGGTAATTAGATCTTTTCCACAAATTGATTTATCTCCTTGTTCTCCCTTCCCTCTCTTTCTTTCCTTTCGCAATGCTTCTTTCCACATCGGTTTTCCTTCACGTTTTCAAGCTTGATATGCTCTTTTTAACTGTATTTTGTCGTGCTTTTTATACACAAAACAAAAACCTGTACGTGTTCGCGCTTTGTAAGAGAAGGAGGAAAGGATCAAATTTGCAGGAAATTGTACACAACGCGGCTAAAAGAAACAGATCCATACACGGTGCCCTAGAATTGGCAGAAAATGGACATACGTAACGTTATTCCTTGTGAGTCTCTGAGTGAATTTTCTTCGAGGGAAAATATCGTGGAAGATCATTATTTTTCGCGATTCTCTTAAAAGCGATATCACTCCGATATTAAGGATTAAAATAAAAGCGTTAAAGCGAAATTTTTTGCTTTTTAAATTCCACAATGTCCCGATGTTTGTATTTTTTTTTATTTTCCGAAGACTAACTTGTAAGCATCTTCAATCAGGAGAGCAGTTAGATCTCGACATTGAGTCGTGACTAAAAAAATCGACTCCCAATCTTGCTTAAAAAATCGCATCTATTCTTCTTCATTTTTTTTGATATATAAAGTTTCATGCATAATGGAGGAAATATTAGGAACAATAATAAATATGAATTCGAAAATAAAAATTCAGAATAAAGATTATACGTAAGCGTGAACACAAATAAGTATATAATATCTATATCTTACACTTTCTTATATTCATTATGCGTTAGATTAATTTTTATTTCGAATTTTCATTTCCAAAATTTAATATTTATTCCTGTTTCCTCCATTATTAGCAGAGTCTGAAGGCCAGATGCAACGAACGAAAATAAGGAAATAGGGAATTAAATATAAAGAGAATTAGAGGAATAGAAAATTACTTTCGACCAATGAAAAGAACATCTTGCTATTCGTTGATTGCGTATCAAATCATGGTTTTCCATATGCCGAAATTTAATTCTCTATTTCTAATTCTCTACGTTTAATTCTTTGTTCCGTATTCCTCTCTTGCGTCTAGGTCCTAATCTCGTCGGAGCGGCGCTCGGAGACGCGATCTGCCGCGTTCGCCGATAATCACGTCGCGCGTCGTCGATTGTACTCGTCGCCGAAATGCAAATGGCATCGTTCGCAATTCTCCGCAATTTAATTTCCTAGCAACACGCGCTCGCGATCCCGCGATCAGGAGGACGCGCGCGCGGGCGCGCATCGGCGCGTGTCGCCCGTCACGAACGATTCTCCCTCGGCCGTCGACACGAACGGAATGGACTTTTCAGATTTTTCATGATATCGAGATCTCGCTTAATTTCTTATTTCCCCTCGGAAAATTGAATAAATACAGGACGTTAACGGATATTTATCGCCAACGATTCGTATTTATTAGCTTCCTTCACCTGTCCCCTTCAGCTGTTCACACAAGGATGACAGACAGATCTTTTCCCTATACGTCGTATACACGATTCTAATCGAAACGTATCGAGTATTAGTTGCCTCGTCTTACGCTTTGAAATAGCCCTCGAAAACTTCTCAATTTTCTCACGTACAAATCGCTGTAAGTATTGTAAGACGAATCGGGATAGATGCCAATTTTCTCAGGAATATTCTCTCGAGATATTCGTTATTCGCAATGTTTTTATCGTGACTTATTATTAGCCGGTGGATTCTATAGATATATTTGAGTACTTTCTAAGATAAACTTGCCTAGGCCACTTCATCCGCGTTCTTCCTCGTGAGCGATGCGATTTTTCGCGAGAGCAAGAAGCCGTAACGGCATATCAACGATGCGCGATGCAACACGATGGCGGTCGTGCATATTGATTATACTTTTCTTTTTGGATTTATTATTGATTTAGAAGTAACAAGTGTTTGAACACCTTTCGGTTTCACTTTTCTTTCTTTTATTTGTCCAACCTTTAAATTTAAATTTAGTCAAAACTAGTTACTTAATGTTTCTACAAAAAGAAGGGAGTTGTATACATTGTGTACGTGGTGTGTGTGTGTGTGTGTGTGTGTGCGTGTGTGTGTGTGTGTGTTGTGTGTGTGTAAATTAGACTTACTCGAATTAGAAGTAGTATATTTTTTTATGGGTGAGATTTATAATTGTAATTTGTTCTTATTTGATATCATGCAAGAATCGTGAGGCAACTAAAAAGTGCTTGTACGTTATCTGTAATATATGTACACATATTACATGATATGCGTGTATATGAAGTGGAAATTTAAATAATGTATGTATTTATATGAACTGCAAACTTCTTCGATAACGGTAATCTCAATCGCTTTCTATTTAAAAATATAATAGCGAAGTCTTAAATTTCTCCGAGACGGTTCCGCACAAAGATAACTATTTCACCCACGCGCTATTCCTCTCGATATCCTAACTTTCCATGCCGGATAGTTTGCATAGTTTCATTGCACCTGAAATTCCACAACGAAAATCCCGCAACAAGACACGGAACTGCTCGAATTTCTGAAAGGATGCATTTTACGATCGATGCAGTTAAACGGTGCGTCGCTGCATCTTGCTAGGTTTTTTTCTTCCGCGTCTTTTCGATCGTGTTAGATTTCAAGAGATTTCAAGAGATTGAGCAATCCATTGGTAGGATTGGATAACGGTATTAAGAAGATATCGCTCGAACGGGATTTCGAGAAAATCGCGTGGCGAGGATGGTCGCGGCCGATGCGTAAACAAGAAATCGTGCGGATCGCGCGCGAAATGACGTCGCGTTGCTTCGACGCATGATGCAACGAGGTCTACCGAAAGCTGCGCTAGAATCTGCGCCGAACTACGATGAAAGACACGGTAGAATAACCGAATTTTTTCTTCGCGATCCGTGTCTAATTATTGAGCTTACAATGACGTAAAAAGACGATAAAAAAAGATATAACTACATAAATATGGGTAGATAATATCTATACATAAATATAAATATCAATATCTATGGAATACCGAACAAATATAGCGGGGAAAAAATTTATCGCAATTCTTGAGTGATATTGTATTTGATTTCGTAATTTTGTTCAAAAGGTCGTATTTCCTGCAATTCGATGGTTAAATGAAATCAAATAGAATCCTAAAGATACGAGACGCAGTTTTTTTCATTATTATTATCGAGTTACCAGCGGTTTCTTTTATTATTATCGAGCTACCAGTTCCTTTTATTGTACTGTCCTTGTTTCTTTTTTTTCTCCCGGTCGCGAAGCGGAGCGGGATTCCCGACGACCGCATTGATCTCTCGCGCTTGCGGCCGTGATACCACCCGCTCGCGGGTCTCCCTGATAAAGATAAGAAATAATAGGAGGCAATCGTATCGGGTCTGAATCCTCGCGCCTCCCCTTTCCCCTTCTCTTTCTCTCTCTTTCTCCCTCCGTCTCTTTCTCGTACGTCGCCGTCACATCGAGTCAGTGTCGCGTGCAATTTGCGCACTTTTGTTTACAAGCGCGCGACATCCCCCGCGCACATCGCGCACTTACTATTTGTCTTCCGCGTTTTAATACGCATCCACGACGTACGTGCCATGCTGCACGGTGCGAAGGTAATGCTGGCGCCCGTGTGCGTATTTAAGGCGAATGCCGAATCAATGGCCGTTTATTTTGCCGCTTTTGAATCCGTGGAATTCGCGCGCACGCACCACGAACGAAATCGATGAAATAGCAACACGGACCCGGAGCCAAATAGGAATGACTCTCGCCGTATCGCGCACACACGATAGTTAAAAACAATCGTGTGTAATCTTGGTCGTCGGAGTGTTGGTCGTCGGTACAGAATGATACATATATATTTACATCGCAAAAACATGAGAAACATATATCGATAATGAGTTTCTCGAGTTAAGAGGTAATAAAATTATTAATTCCCACTCGACTCGTAAATGCGCATTAACTTTCAGCAAGAAAATTTGCGGTGAACAATAACACGCCGAACAATTAAAGTCGACGCACGTGTCTTGACTTGTTTACAGAACGGCAGACACAAAGACCGTCTAATCTTGAGTACGGCTCATCAGCAATAAATTTATCGGTATATTTATCTAAATTACGTTTCTGGATATATATTCATTATTTTTAAATCCGATTTAGATTTTTAAATCTTTGTCCGTTGTGGTCATTAAACTGGGGTCACTATTTTATGTAATATATACAAGTGAGACTCTATTTAAAATTACTCTTGCGGGAATTAAGATTTCTAGTTATTTTTGGTCTCTGAAGATACAAAGTTCATTTGGAGAGCGAAAACTGAGAGAATTATAACGTTTGAATTACAATACGTTTAGAATATAAAATGGAGACTGGATCTTTTGCGTTGATTATTTTGGTTGTTTTACTCGTGCCGAGAACTGTTCTGGATTATACGAGTCATAATTATTCACGAGACTGCGCTCGTATTTTAAGGTCGAACGCAATCGCGTATCTTCGTCACATCGATGGCCATCGCCGGCCATCGCCGGCCATCGCCGGCCAGGCCGCCTTCGTTATCCTGTATAATTTTATGCAACGCTTACATACTTCATGTGATAAGGCATGGAAGTTTGAAGAGAAGCCGCCCCTCTCGCGATCTATGCACACGGCCATTATTGATAAAAGCGCTTCCAGACTTTATTTCAAGGGCACACACAATGACGAAATGAATGTATCCTAATTTCATGGCCGAAGTAAAATAAACCCTTCGCGCATTACCTCGCACGCGAATACCAAACGCGAAATTCGAGGGCGAATTGATCATTTCTAACTCGTAGCGGACGCTTGTACCTAGTAAAATCGCCCGTCTGTGAAATTTGCCCATTAAACGCACGTTTAACATCGTCCGTAAGCACCTGAGATCATTTTGCATGTGTATATTATGGCTTATTAATTGGGAATCGCTGAATTTCATTGTGAAAATTTAACGATTTAAATTTTGGGAAAAGGTCAAATTATCATGACACTGTAGAATTATGAGAATTTACATAAAAAATTATTCCATAAGTTTTCTAATGTCGTTTTACATGAGCATATCTGCATGATAATTTTTATTTTAATATTGCAAAATTATTTACAACTTGAGCAATCATTTGTTTAATTTTCTTTTATGTTATAGGTATACGTCGCGGCGTAATAATTTTATTATTAAGTTCACAAGAACTTATAAGTATCCTTATCCAGATCCAGGATTCTCGCTGCATTTATAAAGAAAAGATACTGGTTTACTATTATTGGTTAATTATTAACATAATTCGATGACAAACTTCTAAATTTTTAGGAAACGATTGTAAATATGTATTATAATAAAATACACTACTATTTTCCAAATTCACCTTATTCCAAATTTTTTGTAGATATTCTTATATGTTACTTTAGTTTCTATTTATTGCGAAGGAAACTGAAGATATAAATTTTCATCTCACCAATTGGCATTAAATAAATAAACGTTTACAAAAGTAGTACATTGTGAATTGTAATTTCATAACCTGATTACAATCTACAACAATTACTTGTTATCCTTATGACTATGCAGAATGAGAAAATCGTTGTCTCATTGTGTATAGACCGTTTTTATACGTATCTTGTAGACATAAACGAATTCATTCATTTATTTTTAACATCTTTAAAATACGATTAAAACATCTACATTACATTAAACATCGCATTGAAAAGATATAAAAAAAAAAAATCATCTTTTGCAGTTATCTAGAACGGGATAATAGCTTTCTATTTTTATCTTTACAGACGAATTTTATGTGTTAAAGCAAAATAATATCTTTTCGCATCTCAAGAGACTTGCAAAATATGGAATTTAATTGTCTCAAATCATTACTCGCGTTCTAAATTCTACCAATAATCTTACTATTAGTATTGTGCCGATTTAATTTTTCAACTTTTAAGTATAAGTATTCATTTAATTTCTGTTCAGCTAAAATAATTCATATATATAATCGTAGATATATATATATATATATATATATATATATATATATTAATCAACAATTCATCATCAATCAACTCATCATTCATCAATCAATACATTATATGTATGTTTAGATGATTAAACATACATATAAGTAATTCATTAATTTTGTTGCAATATATTCATTATTTATGGGGATACATATGCGCATGCTATGAATACGTGCACACAAGCACACATGCTGTTGCATCATGCATTTTCCGAGATGAAACAGCATTAAGTCATAATAAAAGAAAGACAATATTCGGGATTTACTTGGGAACGACTTGCGCTTGAAAATATTCCATTTCGCGCTATGCTATTACTGTCATGCGCCATCGTTCCTCGCCGCTTGTTTCCACTTCTATTAACTCCCTGATAATCAAGCATTTCGCGAGCGGGCTTGCCTCATTGAAAATGCAACGAGACGCGGAGCCGAGCGATCGTCGTAAAAAAAAAAAAAAAAATATCACTCCGGTCGACCTCGAGTCACACGACAGCTTTTCGATGAGCTTGAACGCGAATAATCGAAAAGAAATCGGCATTTCACGCTAATTAATAAAGGATATAAGTTCGATACATCAGATAAGAGCGATACATTTAGTATCTGTAGCACAAAGACCGTCGTCTGTCTGTCGGTCTGGGAAAAAAAATTATTTAAAAAAAAGTCCAACGACAATTGAATTGCACGACATTGGGAAAATTTATAATAGTATTTAGAGTAGTTAGTATGTTAAGTCTCTCTTTATATATAGATAATAATAATGATTCCTATGCAACACGAACTATATTAGTGATGAATGTAGAGATGAATGTGTACGTTTGATCCTAAAACTGGTAGCGCTCGCTTTTATCCGAACATGAAGATGTTTACTTTCGAATTAACAATTGTATCACTTTCCAACCAGAATAACGTGCAATCATTTGAATCCCGACTTTGCATACGCTATTGTTCACACCGGGATCGACGATGAATCATTAATTGGCGATTCAGTACGTGGCGAAAGGAAATCGTACGTCTGGAACACGGCGAGGTCGTAGGTGTTTCCACGATTTAGCAAATGGAAAAAGATCATTCGACATGACTACAATTCGAATCGATTTTATTATAATCAATAACTCTGTTATTATAATTAATAAAAATTACCATTATCATTAGCATACCTCTAAATTTAAGTGAGATTACGAGAATTGGAGAGATTCGGCATATATTAGTACTTAATAATTAATAAATACAAATTATTAAGTAACGCGACAGCGAGTAAGTTGGAAATTAAGAATCTCGACACATAATTCATGATTGGCGTGGTCCGAATACGGACCTTATGAATAATCGTGGACGGATCAAACTGCGGATCCAACTCGTTCTTCTGTGAAATCTTTCGATTTCAAGCGTTACAAAACGAAAGGGGGAAACACTGCTCGAAGGCCGCGATTCCGTTTGTCGCGTATATATATGAATACCGGCGTCGCGGCGTCAACGCGATGGAGATGACACGTATTGGAATATGTTTTTTAGAAAAAGTAAGTCTCCAACAATTAGGAGTGGGAGGAGGGGGCCAAGGGATCGGCCAAGGGGTACTGGCGATCGAGGAGACGGAAAAAGGAAGCGGCGGTACCGGTGGACAATGGTGGAAGCAGCAGCATCCATCCTATCATCACCATTATCACCAACATCATCATCATCAACAACACTATCATCATCAGGGCGGTTATTACACGCAATCGCATACTCACAACCCTGTCACTACCATGAAGCAATCCTACATGCAGGTTAGTCAATCTAGAGAACTCTGTCCGGGCATGCCAATGCTAGAGCTTTACTATCGCGATCCCCCTCCCCCCCCCGCGTCTCTCTGATGTCCCGCAATGAAAAGCGTGTATCTAACGTGCGTCCTCTTTCTATCTCTCTCTCTTTTTCTCTCTTACTCTCTGTCTTCCCCTGTCCTCGTCAACTTGTGCGTACAACGGAGGCGAATTGTTCGGCTCCTCTCTGCGAAACGTTCGTCGCTCCGCGAGCGACGATGCGAACGTAGCTCGGCCTACGTCGTGTCTATATTGTATTTAATCACCTGTCTTTCTCGGTTGCAGCTAACATGGGTGTTTCACGATGACGAGGCGCAGATTAACAAGAAACTGCCAAAGAATTGCTACTCAGGTACGGCGCACGTTTACGCGCGGCATTTACGCTTCGCGTCTCCCGCGGCTCCAATTTTAACACGGTCGGAAGCGAGTTGTCCCCGTCGTGATTAGAGAAACTTATCAGAACAGATTTGGATGATAAGACAGAATCGGTTTAGATGATAGAATAAGAGAGGCGGGAATTCGGGACAAGTTCCTAGTGTAATCTTTGATAATGCTAAAACAGATCTAATTTCAAGAGGAGATTTTTATCTCACGCGTCAGATTTCGTTTATATTTAAAGTAGACGTAATCACATATTTGCTCTTTAAAAATTTTTGTATTCGAGACAGAGATGTCTTTTATGGGTAAGCAAGACGCGAAAGCGCGTTACGTCTCATCGCGAAAAACTTGAGTCCACACGGCCATCTCTTCTCGTTCGCAAGGTGTCAAGCAATCGCGAAAATCGGCATCGCGTAAATAACTCTAACGAATTTCTGTGATTGACAGAATTTTTTCGTATCTCGATGTCGTATCGCTATGCCGTTGTGCCCAAGTAAGCAAGGCCTGGAACGTATTGGCGCTCGATGGGTCCAATTGGCAGAGGATCGATCTCTTCGATTTTCAACGAGACGTGGAGGTAAATAGAGAATCGATCGTTCCGGAGCTTTCCGGATACACTTAAAAAAAAAAAAAAAAAAAAAAGGAATAAGAAAAAGAAAGAAAAGATAGATTCGCGATTAACATCGGATGGTCGGGAATGTTTGTGCGTAGGGACCAGTAATAGAAAATATTTCGAGGCGTTGCGGCGGATTTCTCAGGCAGCTCTCGCTCAAGGGATGCCAGAGCATCGGCAACAACTCCATGCGCACTTTAGCCCAGTCGTGTCCTAATATCGAGGAACTCAATTTGAGTCAATGCAAGAGGATCTCGGATGCGACATGCGCGGCTCTCAGCAGTCATTGTCCCAAGCTCCAGCGACTGAATCTGGACTCCTGTCCCGAGATAACGGACATGTCCCTGAAGGATCTCGCGGCCGGTTGCCCTCTGCTCACTCACATCAATCTCTCGTGGTGTGAGTTGCTCACCGACAATGGGGTCGACGCGCTCGCCAAGGGTTGCCCGGAACTCCGCAGCTTCCTAAGCAAGGGATGCCGTCAGCTGACGGATAAGGCCGTCATGTGCTTAGCGCGCTACTGTCCTAATCTCGAAGCGATCAATCTACACGAATGCAGGGTACTTATCTCATTGACTCCGCAAATCCGCGTGTTACGCAAAGAGGAACAATTGCGCGCCTCAGACGCCGCAGTCGTCTGCGGTCGCGACGGATTTGTCGCTGACGAGATATCGCTGTGTTTCTCAAAGAGATAAGACTCGTTCGTATCGTTGAAATAGAATTGACGTTCTTTTTTTTTTCCCCCATATCGAGGAAGTTGGGAAAGAAGCCGTATGTGCACAATAATATTTGCAATTTGATTCAATAGCACATGCTCGCGTTGAAGACTTTCACCTCTCGATAGAAAGCGAGATATATTGAAGCAAAGAAGAAAATCTCGCGATAACCTGTATCAATATTAAAGAATCCTGATTTTCTGCACATATATTTCGTTGGCAACAGATCTGGTGATAATAGAGAAAAAAAGGAATTTATTTAATATTTATTTATTTGTAAATTTGTATCGAGAGAGAGAGAACGATTCCCATGGTTTGGGAAACGATCTGGCCGAATCATTAATAAGTAAAAATCACTTTAGAATCTTCGTTGCAGAATATAACGGACGACGGAGTCAGAGAACTTAGCGAACGGTGTCCACGGCTGCATTACGTTTGCCTGTCGAATTGCCCCAATTTAACGGACGCGACGTTGATTAGCCTGGCACAACACTGTCCACTCCTCAATGTACTCGAGTGCGTCGCATGCACCCATTTCACGGATACGGGTTTTCAGGCTCTCGCGAGAGTGAGTTGATCACGGCGATGCATTTGAATCGCGTAAACGACCAAAGCCGCGAAACTCTACTCGACTTTCGACTTTCAGAACTGCAAACTACTCGAGAAGATGGATCTGGAAGAGTGCCTTTTAATCACCGACGCCACCCTCACTCATCTGGCAATGGGTTGTCCGAGATTGGAGAAACTAGTGAGTAGCGATTTAATGCACGGCACTCGCGTTAGATGTTACAGTAATGCTTGCGAGGTTCAGCGTCCGTGCATTACTTTTCTGATCCGCCCAACTCGCACGCACTCTTTATCGAGAGTATTTTATCATTTCCGAGCGCAGAGTCTGTCACACTGCGAGTTGATCACCGACGAAGGCCTCCGACAGATCGCGTTGTCGCCATGCGCGGCGGAACACCTAGCCGTCTTAGAACTGGACAACTGCCCGAACATCTCGGACAACGGTCTGAACCACCTGATGCAGGCCTGTCACAATCTTGAGCGTATCGAACTATACGACTGCCTACACATTACCAGAGAGGGCATACGTAAACTCAGAGTATTGTCTCATTTTTTTACCGTATTTTCTGACATTACGTTTCGTGCGTTACGCGGAAAAAGAGATCCGGCCGCATTTTCCGGCCGCGTTATATTTAGCCCGATACGCCGTTTGCGTATCACGCAATCGTATTTATGAACTATAGATCGCGCATTCCGCAAAAAGCACAATCTCGTGTAATCATGATTCTGCATCCGGCGGTTGGGTATAATTAATACCGCTTTTTCCGCCTAACAATGAGTCGTGTAAAGAACTTGCGGCTCACAGTACATTACCATAGATAGCTACAATGTACTACAAGAGACTCGCCTTTTCCTCCGTTCAGTTTGACGAATGGGAACAAGTCGCAATTGTACGTTATCGGCGATCATAGATGGAACTTGTTCCTGTCGTCGTTGATGTACGGACATTGATTATTAAACTGTCATTTATGCTATTTTATAGGCCCATCTACCGAACTTAAAGGTGCACGCGTATTTCGCACCGCCGACTCCGCCACCCAGCGCGGGAGCCTCGCGACAACGATACTGTCGGTGCTGCGTCATTCTGTGATTTTGCCTTCAACTTCTAACTTCGAAGTAAAAATCGTCCGATATACACACACACCCACGGGATTATAGTGGACCTTTATCAATGGTCGCTACCCGCGGCGATTATGGGACCTCTCTTTCTCGTGATTACCGGAGAAGCGCTCTGGTTGCCCATCACACGTTGATAAGTGAGAACGGGAACTCGTTGTCAATTGCAAATCGTTAAAGCGATTCAAGCTGTACATGCAACGAGTGAAGTAACATCACCATCATCAACACAGCCACTGATGCTACTACTGCAATTACCACTATGACCGCTGCTACTGCTGCTGCTGCTATTACTATAACTACTATTACTACTACTACTACCGCTGTTACTACTACACTTATTGTTATTATTATTATTTCTATTTGTACTCCGTTATCTCGATAATAAGTGCATCGCCACTATCCCAGTTATATTGTGTGCGGGAAGTTAGTCTGCAAAGGAAAGAAATTCTCAGGTTTCCTTAGCAATATTATCGTTTCTATGATCTTCATTTAGCGCGTGTGGCATTTCTCTCCGCGGCGGGAAGTGACGTGCTCGCGCGTTTTCCAAGCTCCTCGCAATACATATGGAGCGGCGTATTTAAACGCGAGCGTACGAGCTTATTTTGATTAGCGTTCGGACGCGTATTTTCCTAGCGCTACGCGAACAAAGTTTATCGATTTACGTTGCTCGATAAACACGAGATACTTATTTTAAGATACGCGTAAATGTCTTATAAATATCTTAATGAGCATCCGCGCGCGTACTATCGATGGGGCGTGGAAGAAAACGGTAGTTTTAGGGGCAATACGGAATCAAGCGTAATAATGTGTGCAATTGTATCCAGAAGTCGAATTTCACACACACATTTCGACGACACACATTTCGTAATCGTAGCAGTTTCTCAACGAACACTGCCTATAACGTTATTGATAAATGAGAAAAAAAGAAGAAAAAAGGAAAAAAATAAATACGATATAGCGACCGCGAATCGAATCTCGTTGTAATATTTAGGATATTACTATTGTTTTATCGTATAACATAGACATAAACGTACCGAATATAACGTACCGAAAAAGTACGGTTCGGTGAAAGTGTTTCTTCTCGGTGTCTGTTTAAAAGTATTAACGGATCGCGCGTACGTGATTACCGAACGACACCTACGAATTTCTTTCCTTTCGTAAAAAAAGAAAAAGATGCAGAAGAAAAAAGAAAAAAAGAAGAAATAGAAAGAAAGAATAAAAAGAAGAAATCTTTCGCATTAAGGGCGCACAATTCAACTTTTAACGACAAACTTTCAACGTATTGTGATCGTGGACACTCGAGAACATGAGGAGGATCGCTCGAGTATTTGAAGACTCTACCGCCACTGGCGCAACTTACAGCGGTGGCGCATGAAAGATGCATTTTACATTCGATTCGCGGGCAAACGGTGTTTACGCCCGTGCATCGTACCCTCGAGTCCCGTGTAAACGTAAACCACTTCTCCTTGACAGCCCGGACGTCTATTCTACTATTTCTTTTCTCTGTTTTATTACTTGTCTTTTTTTTTATAACTTGTCATGGACTAGGAGAGCACAGACTGACAAACGAATCAAAGCGTTAATGTGTTACACCGATTAACTTCGTGCTGGCGGCGAACATCGCTGGCAAGTTTTTACTTTTTAAGCCTAGGTTTAAAAATGGAATGGCGGCAGTATCATGAAGCCACGGGTGTATCGCGAAGAATGATGGATCGGCGATCTCCGCGTGCGATCTTCGCCAATTGATCCTGGATACTCCGTGACTACAGTGACAATGTGCCCGATGGTGAAGAACAAACAGATAAACAGAAAAGACGTTTAATCTTCGACCCAGTGCTTGTAAAGTCCCGATCATAAGATCGGCGCAATCCTTCAATTAAATCACGATATTGTTTGATGAAGCGACCGATTCGCTGCAGAATCTTTGTAGGTGCATTGAGCGCCGCAAGAAGAGAGACGAGCAGTTCATTACAAGATGTGAAATATCAAAACCTGGCTTTCCGAAGCCAGAAAATATACCGCGGGAAGACGAGCAACCCCTATATACGTGGATTACGATTTTCCATTTAATTGTACGAAAAAATTCCACAACGTAGTTTCTCCGAAAGTTTTCACGATGAAACTTTACGGCGGATTTGGGTTTTCGAATCGACAAAATTTATTTTGAATATAAAAGACGCTATACACATACATACATACGTGCATACACACATACATACACACAACTAATACATATATTGGCTATATTTTTAGAAGCGTACCCTTGCCAGATTTTTACTAAAGGAGTCGAGGACGCATTTTGAACGCGTTTTAATGGCTGGTCGAAGACCAAAACGCGAAATTTTTAAGCGGTCCAGTTTCGAAGTGCAATATCCGTCAGACGCGAAACGCGCCTTGTTTCCTTCCTCTGTCTTTGATTCGTGATTCGTAAAACCTGGTTAGTATTGCGACACGGCGCGTCGTCGCATTAAGCAAAAGAAGGGAGGAAAAAGAAACACGAAGTATCGATTGTTAATCCTTTGGTAGCGTGTAAGAGACATACCGCGTATATATTGAAGTATAGCGTGTAACACAGACATAACGGATGCGGCAACCTAGATATATGATACAACAGTAAATAAATATATAGATAAGATATGTTTTATACGCTGCATGTCATCCCTAGAGGAATAACATGATCATTGTAAACGTGTCGTTCGAAGTCAGGTTAATAATTATAAGCGATGTACGATTATATGCGCGCATGACGTAACCGCGATGATACAGGACATACCTGCCCATCCACCCACCCACTCACCCCCCCCGCACACACACACACACACACACACACACACACACACACACACACAAATCAAATACCCATTACACACATACAAGGCTTTCCGACTTTTCGCGAATCTCAGTCTGAGTATTTGCGTTTCCGAGTTCCTCCGAGCGGAATTGTCCCTCGCATCACGAACCACGGGGATTTGACCGCGTGAATTCTCCTCTTAAAGAAGAGAAAAGAATTCTTTCGCGCCAAGTAAATCTTTAGCGATGCCCAGGGTAGCGATCACGAAATTTATCCCCTGGTGTAACTTGTAAAAAGTGAAAAATTTCACTTGAATTCAATGCAAACTGCTCACTCTTTATGAATTCATATTAGAGGATAAGATGATCGATACCTTGGGATGAATTTCGCGGTCGATAACTGCGACAGCTCGCACTCAATCATCATCCGATGCTCGAGCTAGACTCAAAATATAAAAGTCAATCGCAGTGCCTGAAATGTTACGAAATCTAATCTGTGTAAATTCAAAATTGTTGCCGAGCGCGAGATTTCCCGCACGACAGATTGTAACGCTAATGTAGAATGATGTTTGGCTGAATCGAAGTCTAGCGCAGCGTTCGGACATGCGTCGATGAGCGGCAAGCCGCGTATACACACGCCGACGATACCCCCCGGAGGAAATTCGCGGCGACGTCTATTACATTAAGTCGTTGTGAATCACCGTCGAACGGGAATATATCGCATTATTGTCCATCGTCGATCGGGTCGCATTAAGCCTGCGACACGACTCGACCGTCGCGAGAAACGCGAGGACCTGGTCGGGAATCCCTTTGACCTGGAAACGCGCGAGATTTGCTCTAACGATTTTCAAAAACTGCGATATCCATCTGTGAATTTCTAAGAATTGGAAAATGAAATATGTACCATCACACTTTCAATGATCGCCACTTACAGTTTAATCAATTGTAATAATCCGCAATTGTCACCGTTGACTCGTGTTGTAACGGTAATTAAGAAGATAAGAGATCGAAGCATTGATGCCGAGTGATCGAGCAAGTGTTTGGCTGTGCAGGAGAGAAAGCTGATTAGGGTCTGAATAGGAAGGCTTGTGAATAGGATGC